TGCTCGCCTCGCTCACATTTTGTGACACGGCTGATTTTATCCAAGCTCTGAGCCTTTCTGGGGAATTGGATGTCGATCACTGGTATGTCACAGCACACGCTCACACATGAGTGTCCAATAAAAAAAACATCTCCTGCTTCAAAACAGCAGCCCAGGGTGTATAAAGAAAATGGGGTGATTTAGGTTTCCCTAATCTGAATGTTTATCAACGACTGTTTTTCTTTTCCAAACTGGTGTGAGATGCACAACTGAAAAAGCTCCATGTGCATTGTTAAAACCAAGGCCACACCCCTTTAAGGTTTCTGATTTCTTACGCTTGAATCTGAAGCCCAGGGAATTAAAAATGATGAGAGGTGAGAGTACCTTGTGGGGAGGACACCAGGTTGCTCGCTAAGCTCAGGGCATGGGAGGGAATGGGAGGAACCGGTTAAGCTCTGGCATTGCCCATCTGGATCACACCAGGCTCCCTTTGTCAGGCATTAAACTGTGACTGACAAGGTTGAGCTGTTCCCGATGAGACGGGATACCGAACACCTGACTGGTGTTAGTTGGCACTAAAAGGGGAACCATAGGCTCGAATGGTAGTGCACAGGCACTGGCTCCCTGCGCTGGACTAAATTGTTACCAACAGGGCCTGAGTCACAAAGTATTTATGCACCTAACTCACGGAGACTGGTAAATGAGGAATGCAGGAGAAAGGAAACCAGAGGATTGCTATCATGTTTCAGAATCCCTTTAATGCTAATATGATAGGATTACATAGGAACAGACAGAATGCAGAGTAGAAAATACATTGCTAGGTTTTCCAGGATTACAACAAATGAACTGCTCCCAGATGATGCATTTCCCATCAGATGTTCTTCTTTCTTTGGTGCCGCTGTAGAGTTTGACAATCAAATCCTGTTTGCAGCCATTTTCAGTTAATTGTGTTATCCCAGCCCCAGTCTAATTAGACAAAGCACAATATCAGGAGAGGACTAAGTTCTTTCTCTGTTATACATCTTCTGTAGCAGTGTTGAGACTGGAAACAAATGGTACATATTTATGGAAAGGCTAGAAAACATAGGCCCTAATTCTCATTGACACTTACGTCCCAGGATGTTGGTTTGTAAAGAGCCTTCGAGTGAGTGTAAATATCATTTGTATGAACTCACAGGCCCCTGCTGCATTGACACTGTCAGAGAGGCCGAAAGGGGCCATGATGGAGCTGAGATTCGGGCCGTCAGATAGCTAGAGTAAAGGAGAGAGTATGGCGGTATTAGAGGAAACTGTGCTAAAGTGTCCCCTGGCAAACAGAAATCTGGTGCAGGTTTCCTGCAGTGCTGAGAACTCACAGCTCCCTTGGGAGTTGTGGGCACTCAGCATTTCCCAAAGCCATTGTCCATGAGCTCAGCCGTGAATCGGTATCTTGCTTTTCGTTTGTTGGTTGTTCCTTGTTCCATGGCTATTCCTCCTCAGCGAAACATGGATACAGGTTTGTGGGGCCGCAGGGATAGGGGTGGGGGTAGCAGCAGGGGTAGGGGTAGGGGCAGGGGTAGCAGCACTTGAATGGCTTTTTCCAGGAGCATGGCGGCCAGTGTCCATAATCGCCTCCGTAACCGCTTGAGTCCCCATAACCCCACGGTTTACAGAACCAAGGTTTACAAATCTTTTGGTGCGGTTTACAGCACCAAGGTTTGCAAATCTTTTTTTGGTGGTGGAACAACATCTCCATGCGTTGGAAGTAAACCTGAAACACACAGAAAGGAAAAGAGTCACCATAATGCCTTAGAGCCAGTGGAATAAACGGGTCAAAGCTCAGTTCCCATTGAAATGGGGGCCACGTGGAAAGAGAGAGCGCGTGGTACTTTGGCTTCTAAAGCTTGTGAGTCAGCAATACTTGACCATGTATGTATGGAAAATATTCTTCGTCAGTACAAAACGTTAAGGACCAGAGCCCGAGCCAGCGGAAATCGCCACTGTTCAATGGAGATGAATGGTGCTAAGCTAACTTACACCAGCTGGGGATCTGCACCTATCGTTGCTAGCAGAGCACATAAGAACAGAGAAATTGCCGTACTGGTTCAGAGCAGAGATCCATCTAATGTAGCAATCTGCCTGAGCTGCTGTTGAGTACGACCTGCTGCAGAATACATTGGAAGAACACAGACTTGGTCTACTGAGTAATTAACTCAAGGTGGGGGTTGTTTCTAACACCACGAAGTTAAAAGTGGTTTATGAGCTTTTTCAAAGCTGCCTAAGGGATTTGAATGCCTATTTCTTAGTGAAAATAAACAGAATTTGTGTCCCAAATGCCTATGTACCTCCGCAAAAAATTGCCACCTTCACTTGTATACCATGAATCCACCAATGCCTGCAACTTAATAATCACATTTTTTAGTGAAACACCGCAAACATAGACAATAATCGGAGTCTATGTGCAAGATTAAGCCCACAGTTTAAATGATCACTAACGCGACATCTGGATAGCTATGGAGAGGTTCAGTTAAATCGCACTTACCCAGCTCACTGAGGAGGAGACGTCAAGAGAAGCGGTTAAAGAACCCTGAGTCGCGAGCTCTTTTATACTGGTTCTTAGATGGCCTGGAGAATCTGAGACACCCTTTTTGCTTGAGGTCTTAATTAGAAAAAATATTTTGCTGCAGACGTCACTCCTTCAATATTTATAATTGGTTTCTTCAGTCTTCAGGATTATTGAGTTATGTACCTCACGTGGATTGCATGCATCTTGAAAGTTTTATGGAACCAATTTGTTCCTGATATCAATCTGGTGAACCCATCAGAGTCACTGCAGGAATGACCCGGCTATTAAGAACGGTATCTGTTGCACAATCTGTTATCGTGCAGAGGATTCCAGTTTGGTCTGATAAAAGCTACACTGATATGTGTTGGTATGTAGTGGGGGCCCAGGGCAGTCTTCCTGATGGAATTTCCTAGGAGGAACAGAGCATTTAGGCTGTATGGCTTGAAATTTCCGTAGGTCAGAAGGACAGTGTAAGGCCTCTGAACCACTTTAGTCACACATGCTTTCAAAAGAGATCTTAACAGGGACCTGAGATTTGCACAGGCGTTTGTGCTGACTCTCCGCTTAGGGATGGGTTTCGCTTTATGTTGATTAGAAATTCAGTTCATAATCGAACTTCAGTTGTGGCACCAGTGCGGTGGGATCAGGGCGATCCCCATGGCAGAAGCTCACTGTGCTTCCTCTTGCAGGGCTGCTCTTGGTTTGAGGTGAGGGTTGGAGGTGGGTGAAAACAAGTTATGTTTGATAAAGCCTTTGAGATAAACCTTTTACGTTTCTGGCATCCGTAACACAATCTCCATCCAAGAACAGCCAACACAATTCTTGTCTTGCATGAAAAAGCAGCAGATAAAGCCTCAGGGAAAAGACAGGAAAGATGGAGATGTGTCTTTCTTGGCTAAGGCTATGGGCTTAGACTAGATTAATTGAAAATCTCATCAGCCTTAGGGCATGTTGCAAGACCTTGAGCTTGCAGCATGCTTGTCTACTATGACGAGAATGATTTTTCGAGCGTACCAGAGTCTCTATGGGATGTTTCCTGTAACCAGGCAAGGGTGAGAAGCCTTGTTGTGATTCAAAGGCTCTGAACACCTTCGAAGATTATGGGGCTATGCTGATCTTTGCTGGTCAGTCTCCTGCTCTGAGGAATTTGTATAATGAAAGGAAATGCAAAGCTTCAAATTCTGAAGGGAAAATCACAATCTGAATAGTGGACTGACAGGAATGATCTAGAATATTAATTCCTTGTAAAGTGACTCTGTTACTCAATACAAGGGTGTTTTCCTGCTACAAACTATTATTAGTATCATAATACAATATTTTAGACATCAAAAGCCTTAATGAGTGTTTGCGAAGAGGTTTGATATCCAGAGTGCCAAGGAAGTGGAACATCCATAATGAGTGATATCATCCCTGTTTTATACGTGGATAAACAAAGGCACATTGAGAATAAGGTTTTACAGGAAGTAAGCTGCAGAGACTGAAGTAGACACATTAGTCTTAACATGTGCCACATACTTCCCATTGATCCTGAACCCTGTCAGACCCTTCACTTTGTTGGATTCTAAACAAATCACTAACAAGAGAGTAATTCATAGAGAGACTCATTCATGGGTTCTTTTGTTTGTTTTGTTTTGACAAGTTTCTAAAGGAATCATCTCCTGGTTCCTCTGCACAGCAGTGACCGTACGTGTCTCCTCACAAACTTTGATATTTGAGTTCTAAAAAGAAGTTTTTGATCCTACACCACCAAATATGTAATTGACATACTATGATCAACTATGTAATTGACATACTTACCATTCCTTTGGTGAATTATTGTCGCCATGGATTAGGAAGGCCAAGTTAAAGTGGAACAATACAGTATATAGGTGAGCTTTGTTTTTGCTTTGGTCAGAAAAAGAATCATCTAGACGCTTGCCAAACATAACAAGGAAATGACTGAGTCTCTCTAACAATGACAGTCATGTAAATTGCATGTTAAGAAGCCCAAATCACGAAATGTTATTAAGAAGACACTTTACTAACGTTGTCTTGCAATGCAGGCTAATAGTGCTCAACCCAGAGAGTAACATGTGGCACGAATTGTCAGGACATTTGGGTTTTACTTCTTTCTCTTCAGCTGACTTATTTTGTGATCTCCAACTCAATTTCCCCCTGTTTATCTGCATATCAAATGAGGATAACAACACTCCCACAGTATGTTCTGAGGCTTGCTCAAAACTCAGGCTCTAAAAGCACTTCACAAACACTCATTAAAGTTTTATATATGCAAAGTGTTGCATGATTATAATAATTTGTTATTCTTGGAAGATGCCCATCTTTTGAGTAATAGATTTTCTTTAAAACATATATTTCTATCTCTCTCCTGTTTACACCTTAATCAGGTCATGATTTCTAGCCTCAGAATTTGTAGCTATTTGATTTTCCTTGAATAGCAGTGATATATTTCTCTTTTGTATAAAATTGCATTTTAAAGGTTATGCATCAGATCCTCAGCTGGTGTAAATTTGTCCGACTGTGACTTTCATGACCCCTGCAATCCGAAGCGCTGTTTGGGATGTCTATAACTGAGTAAGTATTATTGCTGGAACACTTTCTGCAAGAGAGGGATCTGGAAGCATGTCCTTTGGCTGGTCAGAGCCTGAATTGGTGTAATATCATCCCATATCAGTCTCCTGCCTTTTCTCCCTCTCTTTTGTGTTTCTCGTGGGCTACATCATCTGCATTTTCTCAGGAGACCTCAGTTCTCGTAGGTGCTCATGGATGAAGATGTGAGTGCTGAGGTTGCAACTCCAAGCCCTTAGAAAACACTGTACCACCAGCATTCAACACAAACAGTGAGCAGCAATTCAATAAGCAGAAATGTATAGTTCTGTTTTGATGATCACCCTGATAAGGGGAGGTCTATTGAGAGATGATTTTCTTATCCCGATAAGGTGAAACTCACCCCAAGGCAGAACAAAAGTCTATGCAAACTTATGTCTGAGAAGACCTATTTTGAAAGTGAAAGTTGTTCATAGGCCTTGTATTGCCCCTCTGCCAGGGGTGAAGGCTCCCTGATTCTAAAGAACTGCAGTGGTATATGCCACAATGTCCCTAACCAATACCCGCCTGTATTTAAAGGACTGGACTGGATTCCTATACCAGTTGCACTGATCTAGCTCAATTTCCTTCAGATTCATTCCCGTTGTAACTCCAGTGAAGTCAAGAAAATAACAGGAATGTAGATCTCCCATGAAAATTTTCATATCAAAGACTTCTGCAGGGTGTATCATATGGTTGTTGTTCCACATGAGATTGGCAATAGATTAATATTGATAAGGAAAACCATTATATCAGTGGAAAGACTGATGTGCGCAACAAAATTTGTTTGGTAACTAAGCAGGATCTCATACACAAAGGGTGTCTCAGATCCTCCCGGAGGTCTGTTAGACAGTATAAAAGCTCCTGTGAGCCCAGGTTTTTCTAACCACTTCTCTCGACTTACTCTCCTTGGCGACTGGGTAAGTCTGAGTTGAATCAATCTCTCGATACAATTGACGTGTCATGTTAGTGATCGCTGTCATTTAGGACTGAATGTTGTACATTGATTCTGATTCTTAGCAATGCTAAGGAGTTCCCTAATTTTGTTGTTGAGGTTCTTAAGTTGCCGGCATTGGTGAATTGATGTTTGGGAAGGTGAGGGTGAGAACTGCAGAGCAGACATTTGTCTGATCCCCAGTTCCTATTACTCTGAATTGAAAATAGGGAACTGGAACCTCCCCAGTGGCGTGGAATAACCTCATAGCCCAGCTTTAAGTGAGGGTTTTGGGGAAGAAACTACTCTAGCATAAAGCAGGGGTGGCCAACCTGTGTCTCCGGAGCACCATGCGGCTCTTCAGAGGTTAATATGTGGCTCCTTGCATCAGCGCTGACTCCAAGGCTGGAGCTCCAGAAGCTAACTTTCCAATACGCTGTGGGGTGCTCACTGCTCAACCCCTTGCTCTGCCCCAGGTCCTGCCACCACTCCATCCCTACCCCCAAGGCTCCTGCCCCTTCCCCCGAGCTTGCCATGCCCTCGCTCCTCCCCCCTCCCCACCAGAGCCTCCTGCACACTGCGAAACAGCTGATTGTGGTAGGCGGGAGGCATGGGGAGGAAGGGGGAGGCGCTGATTGGCGGAGCTGCCGGTGGGCTGGAGGCGCTGGAGGCTGGAGAGGGGTAGTGGATGTGGGGGCTGCTGATGTATGACTGTGGCTCTTTGGCAAAGTTCATTGGTAAATTCTGGCTCCTTCTCAGGTTCAGGTTGGCCACCCGTGCCATAAAGGATCATTTCCGTGTTTGTCAAGTTTATTCGGAAGCAGCTAATTCTCAACACTCTTTGAGACAGGAGCCTGGATTAAACAGACCACCGGTCTGACCAAGTCTGACAATTCCTCTCTTCTGATGTGTGCAAGGAGCAATTTTAGAGGCAGATCTTAGGTTGGTGTAAGTCAGCATGTCTCCAATGAAGTTAGTGTAACGAAGCTGATTTAACCCTGCTCAGGATCAGGCCCTTAGCATTTGGTATTGGGTACAGAGTATTTTCCATTCATTCGTTAGCAGAAATAGCTGACTCACAAGCTCTAGAAGCCAAAGTGCTACCCTGTGGTTGTGCAGAGACGTGGTTTGCACCCTGAGCGGAAATCCTCACAAGGAAAGTAACCTTAGGAAGTTTAGCTTAGGTTCTGCCGACGTTGGTAGAGACATTTTGTAAAAGCAATAAAAATCCCTTCCATGCATGATAGCCATACATCATATCGCATGTTTACTTACTCCAGTCAGTGTTTTTAAAACCAAGGGATTGAGAAGGGTTCAAAGTGGCTGGTTAGGAGGGTGTCTAACATGGAGTAAAAGGACTAAAAAAGAGGAGGAAACAGGGGGCAAAATATAGCCAGGAATTGAGGGGCTAGGTAACAATGTCCCTGCTCAGTCTCTCTCTTTCTCTCCATGGCTGCAGGTGGAACAGTAACTGAGCACTGATCCCTTCGTTCCACTGGCCACCGCGTGTTCTGTTGACTCTTTTCCCTGCTGTGCGTTTCAGGTTTACCTCCAAAGCAGGAAGATGTATTTCCACCCCCAACAGATCCGTCATCCTGGCTGCTGCAACCCTTGCTGTGGCAGGGGCTGGAAGCCATGGTGTTACCGCAGGCAACACAGGTGGTGTTATGGCTGCTGCTCCCCTTACCCTTGCCAGTGTCGCCAGAGATACCAGTATGGACACACTTGTTTTGCTGAGGAGGAACAGCCACGGAACCAGAGGCGAGCAGGCAACGCAAAGCAAGATCTGGACTCACGGCTGAGCTTATGGGCAATGGCTTTCAGAACTGCTGAGCACCCCCGACTCCCCTGGGAGCTGTGGGTGCTCAGCACCTCAGGCTCTCTGCCCTGTAGCTGCATTTCCCAGGTTGCACTTTGCGACTGTTTCCTCGAATGCCTCCCTTCCTCTTGGCTTCTTCTTAACGATCTGTAGGCCTGAATCTCAGTTCCACAAAGGCTCCTTTAGGCAGCTCTGGGATGGGACGCATAACATCTACACTCACTGGAAGGCTCCTTCAGAGCGGCCTGAAGGGGTCTGTGACAGGTTTCAATCGGTCCACCAAGCCCCAAAGGGGCGATGGAGAGCTATGGTCCCATGGGCAGGCCTCAATCACACCTTTCGGGCGCTGGGGAATTAGCGGAGAAAGTGTGCCGGCACGAGTCTGCAGCGCGTCCCTCAGGCCGGGGAGCGTCGGCACGAGTCCGCAGCGCGCCCTCAGGCCGGGGAGCGTCGGCCCCGGCGCGAGTCCGCAGCGCGCCCCTCAGGCCGGGGAGCTGGCGCGAGTCCGCAGCGCGCCCCTCAGGCGGGGGGGAGCGTCGGCGCGAGTCCGCAGCGCGCCCCTCAGGCCGGGGAGCGTCGGCGCGAGTCCGCAGCGCGCCCCTCAGGCCGGGGAGCGTCGGCGCGAGTCCGCAGCGCGCCCCTCAGGCCGGGGAGCGTCGGCGCGAGTCCGTAGCGCGCCCCTCAGGCCGGGGAGCGTCGGCGCGGAGTCCAGGCGCCCCTCAGGCCGGGGAGCGTCGGCGCGAGTCCGTAGCGCGCCCCTCAGGCCGGGGAGCGTCGGGGAGTCAGCGCCCTCAGGCGGGAGCGGGGAGCGCGAGTCAGGCGCCCTCAGGCCGGGGAGCGTCGGCGCGAGTCCGTAGCGCCCCTCAGGCGGGGAGGCCGGCGAGTCCGAGCGGCCCTCAGGCCGGGGAGGTCGGCGCGAGTCCGTAGCGCGCCCCTCAGGCCGGGGAGCGTCGGCGCGAGTCCGTAGCGCGCCCTCAGGCGGGGAGCGTCGGCGCGAGTCCGAGTGCCCCTCAGGCCGGGGAGCGTCGGCGCGAGTCGTCCGAGCGCGCCCCTCAGGCCGGGGAGCGTTGGTGCGGGGAGGTCCGTAGCAGCGCCCCTCAGGCGGGGAGCGTCGGCGCGAGTCCGTAGCGCGCCCCTCAGGCCGGGGAGCGTTGGTGCGAGTCCGTAGCGCGCCCCTCAGGCTGGGGAGCGCCGGCGCGAGTCCGTAGCGTGCCCCTCGGCGCGAGTCTGTAGCGTGCCCCTCAGGCTGGGGAGCGTTGGCGCGAGTCTGCAGCGTGCCCCTCAGGCCGGGAGCGTCGGCACGAGTCCGTAGCGCGCCCCTCAGGCCGGGGAGCGTCAGTTCGGGTTTGTAGCATGCGATTCTGCTACCCAAGGTAGGTTGGCCGGGGGAGGGGAACGCAGGCCCACCCAACTCCACTGCGTTCCAGCCCAGGGCCCTGACAGTGGTGGGAGGCGAAGGTCCCGTTGCTGGGTCAGCGGGGGGCCATCCATGCCACGCTGACCAAATACACCCACCACACGGTGCAGTTCTGCCCCTGGGCTACATCCTACCCGGTCTCTGAAGCGGGCCTCTCTGGTCCCTCCAGCTCGTAAGGCAGAGAAATAGGGTGACCGGATGTCCTGTTTTTATAGCGACAGTCCCGATTTTTGGTTTTTTTTCTTATATAGGCTCCTATTACCCTCCACCCCCGTCCCGATTTTTCACACTTGCTGTCTGGTCACCCTACAGAGAAACCACCACAGCACTGGAGTGAGCATTAGCAGGGGCTTTCCCCAGCGGGAAAGAGGTGAGGCCGTGCCTGGCCATGAGGGGAGGCTAGAGAGGAGTGGACTCTGTTGCAGGAGGTAAGAACAGTGGTCTCAGAGCTATCAGGACATTAGTTCTCCATGAGTGCTGTGATCTGAAGATGAAATTGCCATTGGTAGATTGTGCAAGGCTTTATTCCTCAGGAGGCCAGGCTGTAAATGTGCTAGTCACCCTTGTATCTCGAAGGAGAGTGAGAAGCTAGTGCGTTTCCTGGGCAATCCAAGCACAATGGTGTGTGCCATACCCTTGAGCAGCGGTAGACTGAGACGGACTTATTTCACTTTGTTTGGCAGGGATATAAACTTTCCTGCCTCAGGGCATTAGCCAATAATGGAGATTAGGTCTGAGTAATTAATAGAAATGAGTCAGAAACTTCTCCTATGGGCAGGTTATCCCACAACTGCCTTCTGCAGAGTTTCTTGAGCCTTCCTCTGAAGCAGCTGTTGCTGGTCACTGGCAGAGGCATGACACTGGCTTAGATGAGTCATTGACAGGATCAAAATGGAAAGTCTCATGTTTCTGTTTTTCAAAGAATGTTTCCATGTGACGGGTCCCATATTAGAGGGCAAAGGTATATTTTCTATAAAGGAAATGCATGGCCGGAGAGCTGTAAGTCATCACACCAGCAAGACATGAGGGGGTTTCCATGGCGGGGTAACAGAGTCAGAAAGGCTGGGAGTCTGGAAATTGTGAGTTTTAATCCCAGTTTTGCCAGGGCCTCACTGTGTGAACTCGAGCAAATCACTTCCCACATCTGTGAGGAAATCCCTGGATGCCTCTGTGCCTCAGTTTCTCCAGCTGTGGAATGTGAAGAAAAGCAGATAGGTGTGTCGCAGAGGACGTCTGAGGAATAATGAATCAAAGAACATCTAAATGAAAATGTGTTCATGTATTCTTCCCCACACCCTTTATGGAAGTTAAATGCACAGTATTAGATCAGGCTAGAACTATGAACTTGCTCGCCTCGCTCACATTTTGTGACACGGCTGATTTTATCCAAGCTCTGAGCCTTTCTGGGGAATTGGATGTCGATCACTGGTATGTCACAGCACACGCTCACACATGAGTGTCCAATAAAAAAAACATCTCCTGCTTCAAAACAGCAGCCCAGGGTGTATAAAGAAAATGGGGTGATTTAGGTTTCCCTAATCTGAATGTTTATCAACGACTGTTTTTCTTTTCCAAACTGGTGTGAGATGCACAACTGAAAAAGCTCCATGTGCATTGTTAAAACCAAGGCCACACCCCTTTAAGGTTTCTGATTTCTTACGCTTGAATCTGAAGCCCAGGGAATTAAAAATGATGAGAGGTGAGAGTACCTTGTGGGGAGGACACCAGGTTGCTCGCTAAGCTCAGGGCATGGGAGGGAATGGGAGGAACCGGTTAAGCTCTGGCATTGCCCATCTGGATCACACCAGGCTCCCTTTGTCAGGCATTAAACTGTGACTGACAAGGTTGAGCTGTTCCCGATGAGACGGGATACCGAACACCTGACTGGTGTTAGTTGGCACTAAAAGGGGAACCATAGGCTCGAATGGTAGTGCACAGGCACTGGCTCCCTGCGCTGGACTAAATTGTTACCAACAGGGCCTGAGTCACAAAGTATTTATGCACCTAACTCACGGAGACTGGTAAATGAGGAATGCAGGAGAAAGGAAACCAGAGGATTGCTATCATGTTTCAGAATCCCTTTAATGCTAATATGATAGGATTACATAGGAACAGACAGAATGCAGAGTAGAAAATACATTGCTAGGTTTTCCAGGATTACAACAAATGAACTGCTCCCAGATGATGCATTTCCCATCAGATGTTCTTCTTTCTTTGGTGCCGCTGTAGAGTTTGACAATCAAATCCTGTTTGCAGCCATTTTCAGTTAATTGTGTTATCCCAGCCCCAGTCTAATTAGACAAAGCACAATATCAGGAGAGGACTAAGTTCTTTCTCTGTTATACATCTTCTGTAGCAGTGTTGAGACTGGAAACAAATGGTACATATTTATGGAAAGGCTAGAAAACATAGGCCCTAATTCTCATTGACACTTACGTCCCAGGATGTTGGTTTGTAAAGAGCCTTCGAGTGAGTGTAAATATCATTTGTATGAACTCACAGGCCCCTGCTGCATTGACACTGTCAGAGAGGCCGAAAGGGGCCATGATGGAGCTGAGATTCGGGCCGTCAGATAGCTAGAGTAAAGGAGAGAGTATGGCGGTATTAGAGGAAACTGTGCTAAAGTGTCCCCTGGCAAACAGAAATCTGGTGCAGGTTTCCTGCAGTGCTGAGAACTCACAGCTCCCTTGGGAGTTGTGGGCACTCAGCATTTCCCAAAGCCATTGTCCATGAGCTCAGCCGTGAATCGGTATCTTGCTTTTCGTTTGTTGGTTGTTCCTTGTTCCATGGCTATTCCTCCTCAGCGAAACATGGATACAGGTTTGTGGGGCCGCAGGGATAGGGGTGGGGGTAGCAGCAGGGGTAGGGGTAGGGGCAGGGGTAGCAGCACTTGAATGGCTTTTTCCAGGAGCATGGCGGCCAGTGTCCATAATCGCCTCCGTAACCGCTTGAGTCCCCATAACCCCACGGTTTACAGAACCAAGGTTTACAAATCTTTTGGTGCGGTTTACAGCACCAAGGTTTGCAAATCTTTTTTTGGTGGTGGAACAACATCTCCATGCGTTGGAAGTAAACCTGAAACACACAGAAAGGAAAAGAGTCACCATAATGCCTTAGAGCCAGTGGAATAAACGGGTCAAAGCTCAGTTCCCATTGAAATGGGGGCCACGTGGAAAGAGAGAGCGCGTGGTACTTTGGCTTCTAAAGCTTGTGAGTCAGCAATACTTGACCATGTATGTATGGAAAATATTCTTCGTCAGTACAAAACGTTAAGGACCAGAGCCCGAGCCAGCGGAAATCGCCACTGTTCAATGGAGATGAATGGTGCTAAGCTAACTTACACCAGCTGGGGATCTGCACCTATCGTTGCTAGCAGAGCACATAAGAACAGAGAAATTGCCGTACTGGTTCAGAGCAGAGATCCATCTAATGTAGCAATCTGCCTGAGCTGCTGTTGAGTACGACCTGCTGCAGAATACATTGGAAGAACACAGACTTGGTCTACTGAGTAATTAACTCAAGGTGGGGGTTGTTTCTAACACCACGAAGTTAAAAGTGGTTTATGAGCTTTTTCAAAGCTGCCTAAGGGATTTGAATGCCTATTTCTTAGTGAAAATAAACAGAATTTGTGTCCCAAATGCCTATGTACCTCCGCAAAAAATTGCCACCTTCACTTGTATACCATGAATCCACCAATGCCTGCAACTTAATAATCACATTTTTTAGTGAAACACCGCAAACATAGACAATAATCGGAGTCTATGTGCAAGATTAAGCCCACAGTTTAAATGATCACTAACGCGACATCTGGATAGCTATGGAGAGGTTCAGTTAAATCGCACTTACCCAGCTCACTGAGGAGGAGACGTCAAGAGAAGCGGTTAAAGAACCCTGAGTCGCGAGCTCTTTTATACTGGTTCTTAGATGGCCTGGAGAATCTGAGACACCCTTTTTGCTTGAGGTCTTAATTAGAAAAAATATTTTGCTGCAGACGTCACTCCTTCAATATTTATAATTGGTTTCTTCAGTCTTCAGGATTATTGAGTTATGTACCTCACGTGGATTGCATGCATCTTGAAAGTTTTATGGAACCAATTTGTTCCTGATATCAATCTGGTGAACCCATCAGAGTCACTGCAGGAATGACCCGGCTATTAAGAACGGTATCTGTTGCACAATCTGTTATCGTGCAGAGGATTCCAGTTTGGTCTGATAAAAGCTACACTGATATGTGTTGGTATGTAGTGGGGGCCCAGGGCAGTCTTCCTGATGGAATTTCCTAGGAGGAACAGAGCATTTAGGCTGTATGGCTTGAAATTTCCGTAGGTCAGAAGGACAGTGTAAGGCCTCTGAACCACTTTAGTCACACATGCTTTCAAAAGAGATCTTAACAGGGACCTGAGATTTGCACAGGCGTTTGTGCTGACTCTCCGCTTAGGGATGGGTTTCGCTTTATGTTGATTAGAAATTCAGTTCATAATCGAACTTCAGTTGTGGCACCAGTGCGGTGGGATCAGGGCGATCCCCATGGCAGAAGCTCACTGTGCTTCCTCTTGCAGGGCTGCTCTTGGTTTGAGGTGAGGGTTGGAGGTGGGTGAAAACAAGTTATGTTTGATAAAGCCTTTGAGATAAACCTTTTACGTTTCTGGCATCCGTAACACAATCTCCATCCAAGAACAGCCAACACAATTCTTGTCTTGCATGAAAAAGCAGCAGATAAAGCCTCAGGGAAAAGACAGGAAAGATGGAGATGTGTCTTTCTTGGCTAAGGCTATGGGCTTAGACTAGATTAATTGAAAATCTCATCAGCCTTAGGGCATGTTGCAAGACCTTGAGCTTGCAGCATGCTTGTCTACTATGACGAGAATGATTTTTCGAGCGTACCAGAGTCTCTATGGGATGTTTCCTGTAACCAGGCAAGGGTGAGAAGCCTTGTTGTGATTCAAAGGCTCTGAACACCTTCGAAGATTATGGGGCTATGCTGATCTTTGCTGGTCAGTCTCCTGCTCTGAGGAATTTGTATAATGAAAGGAAATGCAAAGCTTCAAATTCTGAAGGGAAAATCACAATCTGAATAGTGGACTGACAGGAATGATCTAGAATATTAATTCCTTGTAAAGTGACTCTGTTACTCAATACAAGGGTGTTTTCCTGCTACAAACTATTATTAGTATCATAATACAGTATTTTAGACATCAAAAGCCTTAATGAGTGTTTGCGAAGAGGTTTGATATCCAGAGTGCCAAGGAAGTGGAACATCCATAATGAGTGATATCATCCCTGTTTTATACGTGGATAAACAAAGGCACATTGAGAATAAGGTTTTACAGGAAGTAAGCTGCAGAGACTGAAGTAGACACATTAGTCTTAACATGTGCCACATACTTCCCATTGATCCTGAACCCTGTCAGACCCTTCACTTTGTTGGATTCTAAACAAATCACTAACAAGAGAGTAATTCATAGAGAGACTCATTCATGGGTTCTTTTGTTTGTTTTGTTTTGACAAGTTTCTAAAGGAATCATCTCCTGGTTCCTCTGCACAGCAGTGACCGTACGTGTCTCCTCACAAACTTTGATATTTGAGTTCTAAAAAGAAGTTTTTGATCCTACACCACCAAATATGTAATTGACATACTATGATCAACTATGTAATTGACATACTTACCATTCCTTTGGTGAATTATTGTCGCCATGGATTAGGAAGGCCAAGTTAAAGTGGAACAATACAGTATATAGGTGAGCTTTGTTTTTGCTTTGGTCAGAAAAAGAATCATCTAGACGCTTGCCAAACATAACAAGGAAATGACTGAGTCTCTCTAACAATGACAGTCATGTAAATTGCATGTTAAGAAGCCCAAATCACGAAATGTTATTAAGAAGACACTTTACTAACGTTGTCTTGCAATGCAGGCTAATAGTGCTCAACCCAGAGAGTAACATGTGGCACGAATTGTCAGGACATTTGGGTTTTACTTCTTTCTCTTCAGCTGACTTATTTTGTGATCTCCAACTCAATTTCCCCCTGTTTATCTGCATATCAAATGAGGATAACAACACTCCCACAGTATGTTCTGAGGCTTGCTCAAAACTCAGGCTCTAAAAGCACTTCACAAACACTCATTAAAGTTTTATATATGCAAAGTGTTGCATGATTATAATAATTTGTTATTCTTGGAAGATGCCCATCTTTTGAGTAATAGATTTTCTTTAAAACATATATTTCTATCTCTCTCCTGTTTACACCTTAATCAGGTCATGATTTCTAGCCTCAGAATTTGTAGCTATTTGATTTTCCTTGAATAGCAGTGATATATTTCTCTTTTGTATAAAATTGCATTTTAAAGGTTATGCATCAGATCCTCAGCTGGTGTAAATTTGTCCGACTGTGACTTTCATGACCCCTGCAATCCGAAGCGCTGTTTGGGATGTCTATAACTGAGTAAGTATTATTGCTGGAACACTTTCTGCAAGAGAGGGATCTGGAAGCATGTCCTTTGGCTGGTCAGAGCCTGAATTGGTGTAATATCATCCCATATCAGTCTCCTGCCTTTTCTCCCTCTCTTTTGTGTTTCTCGTGGGCTACATCATCTGCATTTTCTCAGGAGACCTCAGTTCTCGTAGGTGCTCATGGATGAAGATGTGAGTGCTGAGGTTGCAACTCCAAGCCCTTAGAAAACACTGTACCACCAGCATTCAACACAAACAGTGAGCAGCAATTCAATAAGCAGAAATGTATAGTTCTGTTTTGATGATCACCCTGATAAGGGGAGGTCTATTGAGAGATGATTTTCTTATCCCGATAAGGTGAAACTCACCCCAAGGCAGAACAAAAGTCTATGCAAACTTATGTCTGAGAAGACCTATTTTGAAAGTGAAAGTTGTTCATAGGCCTTGTATTGCCCCTCTGCCAGGGGTGAAGGCTCCCTGATTCTAAAGAACTGCAGTGGTATATGCCACAATGTCCCTAACCAATACCCGCCTGTATTTAAAGGACTGGACTGGATTCCTATACCAGTTGCACTGATCTAGCTCAATTTCCTTCAGATTCATTCCCGTTGTAACTCCAGTGAAGTCAAGAAAATAACAGGAATGTAGATCTCCCATGAAAATTTTCATATCAAAGACTTCTGCAGGGTGTATCATATGGTTGTTGTTCCATATGAGATTGGCAATAGATTAATATTGATAAGGAAAACCATTATATCAGTGGAAAGACTGATGTGCGCAACAAAATTTGTTTGGTAACTAAGCAGGATCTCATACACAAAGAGTGTCTCAGATCCTCCCGGAGGTCTGTTAGACAGTATAAAAGCTCCTGTGAGCCCAGGTTTTTCTAACCACTTCTCTCGACTTACTCTCCTTGGCGACTGGGTAAGTCTGAGTTGAATCAATCTCTCGATACAATTGACGTGTCATGTTAGTGATCGCTGTCATTTAGGACTGAATGTTGTACATTGATTCTGATTCTTAGCAATGCTAAGGAGTTTTCCCCTAATTTTGTTGTTGAGGTTCTTAAGTTGCCGGCATTGGTGAATTGATGCTTGGGAAGGTGAGGGTGAGAACTGCAGAGCAGACATTTGTCTGATCCCCAGTTCCTATTACTCTGAATTGAAAATAGGGAACTGGAACCTCCCCAGTGGCGTGGAATAACCTCATAGCCCAGCTTTAGGTAAGGGTTTTGGGGAAGAAACTACTCTAGCATAAAGCAGGGGTGGCCAACCTGTGTCTCCGGAGCCCCATGCGGCTCTTCAGAGGTTAATATGTGGCTCCTTGCATCGGCGCTGACTCCAAGGCTGGAGCTCCAGAATCTAACTTTCCAATACGCTGTGGGGTGCTCACTGCTCAACCCCTTGCTCTGCCCCAGGTCCTGCCACCACTCCATCCCTACCCCCAAGGCTCCTGCCCCTTCCCCCGAGCTTGCCATGCCCTCGCTCCTCCCCCCTCCCCACCAGAGCCTCCTGCACACTGCGAAACAGCTGATTGTGGTAGGCGGGAGGCATGGGGAGGAAGGGGGAGGCGCTGATTGGCGGGGCTGCCGGTGAGCTGGAGGTGCTGGAGGCTGGAGAGGGGTAGTGGATGTGGGGGCTGCTGATGTATGACTGTGGCTCTTTGGCAAAGTTCATTGGTAAATTCTGGCTCCTTCTCAGGTTCAGGTTGGCCACCCGTGCCATAAAGGATCATTTCCGTGTTTGTCAAGTTTATTCGGAAGCAGCTAATTCTCAACACTCTTTGAGACAGGAGCCTGGATTAAACAGACCACCGGTCTGACCAAGTCTGACAATTCCTCTCTTCTGATGTGTGCAAGGAGCAATTTTAGAGGCAGATCTTAGGTTGGTGTAAGTCAGCATGTCTCCAATGAAGTTAGTGTAACGAAGCTGATTTAACCCTGCTCAGGATCAGGCCCTTAGCATTTGGTATTGGGTACAGAGTATTTTCCATTCATTCGTTAGCAGAAATAGCTGACTCACAAGCTCTAGAAGCCAAAGTGCTACCCTGTGGTTGTGCAGAGACGTGGTTTGCACCCTGAGCGGAAATCCTCACAAGGAAAGTAACCTTAGGAAGTTTAGCTTAGGTTCTGCCGACGTTTGTAGAGACATTTTGTAAAAGCAATAAAAATCCCTTCCATGCATGATAGCCATACATCATATCGCATGTTTACTTACTCCAGTCAGTGTTTTTAAAACCAAGGGATTGAGAAGGGTTCAAAGTGGCTGGTTAGGAGGGTGTCTAACATGGAGTAAAAGGACTAAAAAAGAGGAGGAAACAGGGGGCAAAATATAGCCAGGAATTGAGGGGCTAGGTAACAATGTCCCTGCTCAGTCTCTCTCTTTCTCTCCATGGCTGCAGGTGGAACAGTAACTGAGCACTGATCCCTTCGTTCCACTGGCCACCGCGTGTTCTGTTGACTCTTTTCCCTGCTGTGCGTTTCAGGTTTACCTCCAAAGCAGGAAGATGTATTTCCACCCCCAACAGATCCGTCATCCTGGCTGCTGCAACCCTTGCTGTGGCAGGGGCTGGAAGCCATGGTGTTACCGCAGGCAACACAGGTGGTGTTATGGCTGCTGCTCCCTTACCCTTGCCAGTGTCGCCAGAGATACCAGTATGGACACACTTGTTTTGCTGAGGAGGAACAGCCACGGAACCAGAGGCGAGCAGGCAACGCAAAGCAAGATCTGGACTCACGGCTGAGCTTATGGGCAATGGCTTTCAGAACTGCTGAGCACCCCCGACTCCCCTGGGAGCTGTGGGTGCTCAGCACCTCAGGCTCTCTGCCCTGTAGCTGCATTTCCCAGGTTGCACTTTGCGACTGTTTCCTCGAATGCCTCCCTTCCTCTTGGCTTCTTCTTAACGATCTGTAGGCCTGAATCTCAGTTCCACAAAGGCTCCTTTAGGCAGCTCTGGGATGGGACGCATAACATCTACACTCACTGGAAGGCTCCTTCAGAGCGGCCTGAAGGGGTCTGTGACAGGTTTCAATCGGTCCACCAAGCCCCAAAGGGGCGATGGAGAGCTATGGTCCCATGGGCAGGCCTCAATCACACCTTTCGGGCGCTGGGGAATTAGCAGAGAAAGTGTGCCGGCACGAGTCTGCAGCGCGTCCCTCAGGCCGGGGAGCGTCGGCACGAGTCCGCAGCGCGCCCCTCAGGCCGGGGAGCGTCGGCGCGAGTCCGTAGCGCGCCCCTCGGCCGGGGAGCGTCGGCGCGAGTCCGCAGCGCGCCCCTCAGGCCGGGGAGCGTCGGCGCGAGTCCGTAGCGCGCCCCTCAGGCCGGGGAGCGTCGGCGCGAGTCCGCAGCGCGCCCCTCAGGCCGGGGAGCGTCGGCGCGAGTCCGCAGCGCGCCCCTCAGGCCGGGGAGCGTCGGCGCGAGTCCGCAGCGCGCCCCTCAGGCCGGGGAGGTGGCGGCGCGAGTCCGCAGCGCGCCCCTCAGGCGAGGGGGGGGGGGGGGGGCGGGAGCGTCGGCGCGAGTCAGCAGCGCGCCCCTCAGGCCGGGGAGCGTCGGCGCGAGTCCGCAGCGCGCCCCTCAGGCCGGGGAGCGTCGGCGCGAGTCCGCAGCGCGCCCCTCAGGCCGGGGAGCGTCGGCGCGAGTCCGCAGCGCGCCCCTCAGGCCGGGGAGCGTCGGCGCGAGTCTGGAGCGTGCCCCTCAGGCCGGGGAGCGTCGGCGCGAGTCTGTAGCGCGCCCCTCAGGCCGGGGAGCGTCAGTTCGGGTTTGTAGCATGCGATTCTGCTACCCAAGGTAGGTTGGCCGGGGGAGGGGAACGCAGGCCCACCCAACTGCACTGCGTTCCAGCCCAGGGCCCTGACAGTGGTGGGAGGCGAAGGTCCCGTTGCTGGGTCAGCGGGGGGCCATCCATGCCACGCTGACCAAATACACCCACCACATGGTGCAGTTCTGCCCCTGGGCTACATCCTACCCGGTCTCTGAAGCGGGCCTCTCTGGTCCCTCCAGCTCGTAAGGCAGAGAAATAGGGTGACCGGATGTCCTGTTTTTATAGCGACAGTCCCGATTTTTGGGTTTTTTTCTTATATAGGCTCCTATTACCCTCCACCCCCGTCCCGATTTTTCATACTTGCTGTCTGGTCACCCTACAGAGAAACCACCACAGCACTGGAGTGAGCATTAGCAGGGGCTTTCCCCAGCGGGAAAGAGGTGAGGCCGTGCCTGGCCATGAGGGGAGGCTAGAGAGGAGTGGACTCTGTTGCAGGAGGTAAGAACAGTGGTCTCAGAGCTATCAGGACATTAGTTCTCCATGAGTGCTGTGATCTGAAGATGAAATTGCCATTGGTAGATTGTGCAAGGCTTTATTCCTCAGGAGGCCAGGCTGTAAATGTGCTAGTCACCCTTGTATCTCGAAGGAGAGTGAGAAGCTAGTGCGTTTCCTGGGCAATCCAAGCACAATGGTGTGTGCCATACCCTTGAGCAGCGGTAGATTGAGACGGATTTATTTCACTTTGTTTGGCAGGGATATAAACTTTCCTGCCTCAGGGCATTAGCCAATAATGGAGATTAGGTCTGAGTAATTAATAGAAATGAGTCAGAAACTTCTCCTATGGGCAGGTTATCCCACAACTGCCTTCTGCAGAGTTTCTTGAGCCTTCCTCTGAAGCAGCTGTTGCTGGTCACTGGCAGAGGCATGACACTGGCTTAGATGAGTCATTGACAGGATCAAAATGGAAAGTCTCATGTTTCTGTTTTTCAAAGAATGTTTCCATGTGACGGGTCCCATATTAGAGGGCAAAGGTATATTTTCTATAAAGGAAATGCATGGCCGGAGAGCTGTAAGTCATCACACCAGCAAGACATGAGGGGGTTTCCATGGCGGGGTAACAGAGTCAGAAAGGCTGGGAGTCTGGAAATTGTGAGTTTTAATCCCAGTTTTGCCAGGGCCTCACTGTGTGAACTCGAGCAAATCACTTCCCACATCTGTGAGGAAATCCCTGGA